GGTGTTAGGTCAGTTGTATTGTGTGTTAGGTCAGTTGTATTGTGTGTTAGGTCAGTTGTATTGTGTGTTAGGTCAGTTGTATAGTGTGTTAGGTCAGTTGTATTGTGTGTTAGGTCAGTTGTATTGTGTGTTAGGTCAGTTGTATTGTGTGTTAGGTCAGTTGTATTGTGTGTTAGGTCAGTTGTATTGTGTGTTAGGTCAGTTGTATTGTGTGTTAGGTCAGTTGTATTGTGTGTTAGGTCAGTTGTATTGTGTGTTAGGTCAGTTGTATTGTGTGTTAGGTCAGTTGTATTGTGTGTTAGGTCAGTTGTATTGTGTGTTAGGTCAGTTGTATTGTGTGTTAGGTCAGTTGTATAGTGTGTTAGGTCAGTTGTATAGTGTGTTAGGTCAGTTGTATTGTGTGTTAGGTCAGTTGTATAGTGTGTTAGGTCAGTTGTATAGTGTGTTAGGTCAGTTGTATAGTGTGTTAGGTCAGTTGTATTGTGTGTTAGGTCAGTTGTATTGGTGTTAGGTCAGTTGTATTGTGTTAGGTCAGTTGTATTGTGTGTTAGGTCAGTTGTATAGTGTGTTAGGTCCGTTGTATTGTGTGTTAGGTCAGTTGTGCTGTGTGTTAGGTCAGTTGTATTGTGTGTTAGGTCAGTTGTATTGGTGTTAGGTCAGTTGTATTGTGTGTTAGGTCAGTTGTATAGTGTGTTAGGTCAGTTGTATAGTGTGTTAGGTCAGTTGTATAGTGTGTTAGGTCAGTTGTATTGTGTGTTAGGTCAGTTGTATAGTGTGTTAGGTCAGTTGTATAGTGTGTTAGGTCAGTTGTATTGGTGTTAGGTCCGTTGTGTTGGTGTTAGGTCCGTTGTATTGGTGTTAGGTCAGTTGTATTGTGTGTTAGGTCAGTTGTATAGTGTGTTAGGTCAGTTGTATAGTGTGTTAGGTCAGTTGTATTGGTGTTAGGTCAGTTGTATTGTGTGTTAGGTCAGTTGTATTGGTGTTAGGTCAGTTGTATTGTGTGTTAGGTCAGTTGTATTGTGTGTTAGGTCAGTTGTATTGTGTGTTAGGTCAGTTGTATTGTGTGTTAGGTCAGTTGTATTGGTGTTAGGTCAGTTGTATTGGTGTTAGGTCAGTTGTATTGTGTGTTAGGTCAGTTGTATTGTATAGTGTTTAGGTCAGTTGTATTGTGTGTTAGGTCAGTTGTATTGTGTGTTAGGTCAGTTGTATGTTAGGTCAGTGTTAGTGTCAGTCAGTTGTATTGTGTGTTAGGTCCGTTGTATTGTGTGTTAGGTCAGTTGTATTGTGTGTTAGGTCAGTTGTATAGTGTGTTAGGTCAGTTGTATAGTGTGTTAGGTCCGTTGTATTGTGTGTTAGGTCAGTTGTATTGTGTGTTAGGTCAGTTGTATTGTGTGTTAGGTCAGTTGTACTGTGTGTTAGGTCAGTTGTATTATGTGTTAGGTCAGTTGTATTGGTGTTAGGTCAGTTGTATTGGTGTTAGGACAGTTGTATTGTGTGTTAGGTCAGTTGTATAGTGTGTTAGGTCAGTTGTATTGTGTGTTAGGTCAGTTGTATTGTGTGTTAGGTCAGTTGTATTGGTGTTAGGTCAGTTGTATTGTTGTGTGTTAGGTCAGTTGTATTGTGTGTTAGGTCAGTTGTATTGTGTGTTAGGTCAGTTGTATTGGTGTTAGGTCAGTTGTATTGGTGTTAGGACAGTTGTATTGTGTGTTAGGTCAGTTGTATTGTGTGTTAGGTCAGTTGTATTGTGTGTTAGGTCAGTTGTATTGTGTGTTAGGTCAGTTGTATTGGTGTTAGGTCAGTTGTATTGTGTGTTAGGTCAGTTGTATTGTGTGTTAGGTCAGTTGTATTGGTGTTAGGTCAGTTGTATTGTGTGTTAGGTCAGTTGTATTGTGTGTTAGGTCAGTTGTATTGTGTGTTAGGTCAGTTGTATTGTGTGTTAGGTCAGTTGTATTGTGTGTTAGGTCAGTTGTACTGTGTGTTAGGTCAGTTGTACTGTGTGTTAGGTCAGTTGTACTGTGTGTTAGGTCAGTTGTGCTGTGTGTTAGGTCAGTTGTATTGTGTGTTAGGTCAGTTGTATAGTGTGTTAGGTCAGTTGTACTGTGTGTTAGGTCAGTTGTATAGTGTGTTAGGTCAGTTGTATAGTGTGTTGGGTCAGTTGTGCTGTGTGTTAGGTCCGTTGTGCTGTGTGTTAGGTCCGTTGTATTGTGTGTTAGGTCCGTTGTGCTGTGTGTTAGGTCCGTTGTATTGTGTGTTAGGTCAGTTGTATAGTGTGTTAGGTCAGTTGTACTGTGTGTTAGGTCCGTTGTGCTGTGTGTTAGGTCCGTTGTGCTGTGTGTTAGGTCAGTTGTATAGTGTGTTAGGTCAGTTGTACTGTGTGTTAGGTCAGTTGTATTGTGTGTTAGGTCAGTTGTATTGTGTGTTAGGTCAGTTGTATTGGTGTTAGGTCCGTTGTACTGTGTGTTAGGTCCGTTGTACTGTGTGTTAGGTCAGTTGTATTGGTGTTAGGTCCGTTGTACTGTGTGTTAGGTCCGTTGTACTGTGTGTTAGGTCCGTTGTACTGTGTGTTAGGTCCGTTGTACTGTGTGTTAGGTCCGTTGTACTGTGTGTTAGGTCCGTTGTACTGTGTGTTAGGTCCGTTGTACTGTGTGTTAGGTCCGTTGTACTGTGTGTTAGGTCCGTTGTGCTGTGTGTTAGGTCCGTTGTGCTGTGTGTTAGGTCCGTTGTGCTGTGTGTTAGGTCCGTTGTGCTGTGTGTTAGGTCCGTTGTACTGTGTGTTAGGTCCGTTGTACTGTGTGTTAGGTCCGTTGTATTGGTGTTAGGTCCGTTGTACTGTGTGTTAGGTCCGTTGTACTGTGTGTTAGGTCCGTTGTGCTGTGTGTTAGGTCCGTTGTGCTGTGTGTTAGGTCCGTTGTGCTGTGTGTTAGGTCAGTTGTATTGGTGTTAGGTCCGTTGTACTGTGTGTTAGGTCCGTTGTACTGTGTGTTAGGTCCGTTGTGCTGTGTGTTAGGTCCGTTGTGCTGTGTGTTAGGTCCGTTGTGCTGTGTGTTAGGTCCGTTGTACTGTGTGTTAGGTCCGTTGTACTGTGTGTTAGGTCCGTTGTACTGTGTGTTAGGTCCGTTGTACTGTGTGTTAGGTCCGTTGTGACTGTGAGGCAGGGGGGACGGGGGGCTGGGATACGATTGGTGTACCTGCAGTATACCTGGTATGCCATCAGTATACCAGCTTTATGTCTTGTGTAACACTGGTGTAGCCGCGTCATATCAGGTACTCCACTCGTGTACTTTACGCTGTAAGATTGTATAACTTATGCTATACTGTATATAGCACCACCACAACTGGCATTTCACCACTACAGATACACGCCATATAATCTGGTGTAACACCCCCGTGGCTTGCACCACTCTACTCTAAAACACACAAGAAAAAAAAGTCTCAATCAGCTGGTCCTTCAAACCGTACCATGCAGATGGCACTTAAGCGCGTGTCTGACCACTGAACAAGGTGATTCAACACTACTGTCTCTAAATCACTCCTACCTGGATCTAGCTTAGAGAGGTTTAGACTCTAGGAAAACCTGGGTAAATACTGGTTAGAAATGGTGGTGACTGATACATGAAACAGATTACCGAAAATGCAGCTGAGGTGATCACTTGATTGTTTCAAGCATAGGTTAGACATGAGTGAGTTAGTTTCAAATAGGAGCTGCCTCATATGGGTTGACAGAAGCTGCCTAGTGTGGACTAACAAGAGCTGCCTCGTGTGGACTAACAAGAGCTGCCTGGTTGTTTCATTAACTGTAATGAGGTAATGGTGAACGGCTGGTGACTGCTTACCGTGGTGATCAGGACTGGAAACTGCCGGAGGCGCCTCTGGATGACGTCTATCCATGGTTAAGAATTGTGAACCGATATAACGAGCACTGTCTATTGCCCTGCCCATTATAACGGTCACAACTCATAACTACGGAACAGGTAGTTGGCGCGTAATTTGCGCCACCGGCGGCTGATTGGTGCCCCGTCCCTGGGGGCTGATTGGTGCTCCGTCCCTGGGGGCTGATTGGTGCCCCGTCCCTGGGGGGTGATTGGTGCCCCGTCCCTGGGGGCTGATTGGTGCCCCGTCCCTGGGGGCTGATTGGTGCCCCGTCCCTGGGGGGTGATTGGTGCCCCGTCCCTGGGGGCTGATTGGTGCTCCGTCCCTGGGGGGTGATTGGTGCCCCGTCCCTGGGGGCTGATTGGTGCCCCGTCCCTGGGGGCTGATTGGTGCCCCGTCCCTGGGGGCTGATTGATGCTCCGTCCCTGGGACCTGATTGGTGCTCCGTCCCTTGGGGCTGATTGGTGCTCCGTCCCTGGGACCTGATTGGTGCTCCGTCCCTTGGGGCTGATTGGTGCTCTGTCCCTGGGGGCTGATTGGTGCTCCGTCCCTGGGGGCTGATTGGTGCTCCGTCCCTGGGGGGTGATTGGTGCCCCGTCCCTGGGGGCTGATTGATGCTCCGTACCTGGGACCTGATTGGTGCTCCGTCCCTTGGGGCTGATTGGTGCCCCGTCCCTGGGGGCTGATTGGTGCCCCGTCCCTGGGGGCTGATTGGTGCTCCGTCCCTTGGGGCTGATTGGTGCTCTGTCCCTGGGGGCTGATTGGTGCTCCATCCCTGGGGGCTGATTGGTGCCCCGTCCCTGGGGGGTGATTGGTGCCCCGTCGCTGGGGGCTGATTGGTGCCCCGTCCCTGGGGGCTAAGGTTTCCACGGCCACCTTACTCGAGCCTTCGTTACCTGTGAAACATACGGAACATGTGAGCGGGTCCTGGACACCATGTTTGTCTTCCGCTCTCCAGCCCCCCCTCACCCCTCCCCCAGCCCCCCTGCCCCAGCCCCAGCCCCCCCCCCCCCGCCCCCCTGACTAGTCTCACACCTGCTGGGACGACGCACACTACTGACTGGTGGTGACGAATGGTGTCACCATAAGGGACGTGTAGTCACGGGTCACCACCAGGTCACACCTCTGTGTCACGGGTCATGAGAGATGTGAGGGTCCCCGTGACTGTGGATATAAGGGTCCCCGTGACTGTGAATATAAGGGTCCCCGTGACTGTGGATATTAGGGTCCCCGTGACTGTGGATATAAGGGTCCCCGTGACTGTGAATATAAGGGTCCCCGTGACTGTGAATATAAGGGTCCCCGTGACTGTGGATATAAGGGTCCCCGTGACTGTGAATATAAGGGTCCCCGTGACTGTGAATATAAGGGTCCCCGTGACTGTGAATATAAGGGTCCCCGTGACTGTGGATATAAGGGTCCCCGTGACTGTGGATATAAGGGTCCCCGTGACTGTGAATATAAGGGTCCCCGTGACTGTGAATATAAGGGTCCCGTGACTGTGAATATAAGGGTCCCCGTGACTGTGAATATAAGGGTCCCCGTGACTGTGAATATAAGGGTCCCCGTGACTGTGGATATAAGGGTCCCTGACTCATGTGAACGAGACCGGGGGAGCGACAGCTGTGTGTGTGTGTGGGGGGGGGAGGGGGGAGGGGGGGGGGGTGTTCAACAGGTGTGTGAGTGGTGTATTGATCCAAAGGTGTAGCTTATGGAGGGGGGGGGGGGGTCCTGGGGGTCCTGGGGGTGTGGGGGTTCCTGGGGGTCCTGGGGGTGTGGGGGGGGGGGTCCTGTGGGGGGGGGGGGTCCTGTTGGGGGGGTCCTGTGGGGGGGGGTCCTGTGGGGGGGGGGAAGGATCACTATGTCTCTGGGCTTCTCTCTTCACTATAAATTACAACAGTTCACTTCACAGGTGAGTTGAGATCACTATTTGTTGAGCGTTGATGTCACCATCTGTTGTTACATCACCACCACACACATCACCACCACACATCACCACACATCACCACACATCACCACCACACACATCACCACCACACACATCACCACCACACACATCACCACCACACATCACCACCACCACACACATCACCACCACACCTGCATCACCACCACCACACACATCACCACCACACACATCACCACCACACATCACCACCACACACATCACCACCACACATCACCACCACCACACACATCACCACCACACACATCACCACCACACACATCACCACCACACACATCACCACCACACATCACCACCACACACATCACCACCACACACATCACCACCACACACATCACCACCACACACATCACCACCACACATCACCACCACCACACATCACCACCACACACATCACCACCACCACACACATCACCACCACACACATCACCACCACACACATCACCACCACACACATCACCACCACACATCACCACCACACACATCACCACCACACACATCACCACCACACACATCACCACCACACATCACCACCACACACATCACCACACACATCACCACCACACACATCACCACCACACACATCACCACCACACACATCACCACCACACACATCACCACCACACACATCACCACCACACATCACCACCACACATCACCACACACATCACCACCACACACATCGCCACACACATCACCACCACACATCACCACCACCACACATCACCACACACACATCACCACCACACATCACCACCACACACATCACCACCACACACATCACCACCACACATCACCACCACACACATCACCACCACACATCACCACCACACACATCACCACCACACACATCACCACCACACATCACCACCACCACACATCACCACCACACATCACCACCACACACATCACCACCACACACATCATCACCACCACACATCACCACCACACACATCACCACCACACACATCACCACCACACACATCACCACCACACACATCACCACCACACACATCATCACCACACACATCACCACCACCACACATCACCACCACACACATCACCACCACACACATCACCACCACACACATCACCACACATCACCACCACACACATCACCACCACACACATCACCACCACACACATCACCACCACACATCACCACCACACATCACCACCACCACACATCACCACCACCACACATCACCACCACCACACATCACCACCACCACACATCACCATCACACACATCACCACCCACACACATCACCACCACACATCACCACCACACACATCACCACACATCACCACCACACATCACACCACCACCACACACATCACCACCACACACATCACCACCACCACCACCACACACATCACCACCACACACATCACCACACATCACCACCACACACATCACCACCACACATCACCACACATCACCACCACACATCACGACACACCACACCACCACACATCACCACCAAACATCACCACCACACACATCACCACCACACACCATCACCACCACACACATCACCACCACACACATCACCACCACCACACATCACCACCACCACACATCACCACCACCACACATCACCACCACCACACATCACCACCACACACATCACCACCACACACATCACCACCACACATCACCACCACACATCACCACCACACACATCACCACCACACACATCACCACCACATACATCACCACCACATATCACCACCACACACATCACCACCACACATCACCACCACCACACATCACCACCACACATCACCACCACACATCACCACCACACACATCACCACCACATACATCACCACCACACACATCATCACCACACATCACCACCACACACATCACCACCACATACATCACCACCACATACATCACCACCACCACACATCACCACCACCACACATCACCACCACACACATCACCACCACACACATCACCACCACACACATCACCACCACATACATCACCACCACACACATCATCACCACACACATCACCACCACACACATCACCACCACCACACATCACCACCACACACATCACCACCACAAAACATCACCACCACCACACATCACCACCCCACACCACCACCACCACCACACACCACCACCACCACACATCACCACCACACACACATCACCACCACACATCACCACCACACATCACCACCACGTACATCACCACCACACATCACCACCACCACACATCACCACCACATACATCACCACCACATACATCACCACCACACACCACCACCACACACCACCACCACCACACATCACCACCACTCACATCACCACCACATACATCACCACCACCACACATCACCACCACACACATCACCACCACATACATCACCACCACCACACATCACCACCACTCACATCACCACATACATCACCACCACCACACATCACCACCACACACATCACCACCACATACATCACCACCACCACACATCACCACCACCACACATCACCACCAAACACACACATCACCACCAAACACACACATCACCACCAAACACACACATCACCACCAAACACACACATCACCACCAAACACACACATCACCACCAAACACACACATCACCACCAAACACACACATCACCACCACACATCACCACCACCACACACACACCACCACACACATCACCACCACACATCACCACACCACCACACACCACCACCACACACATCACCACCACCACACACACACACCACCACACACATCACCACCACACACATCACCACCACACACCACCACACACATCACCACCACCACACATCACCACCACACACATCACCACCACACATCACCACCACACACATTACCACCACACACATTACCACCACACATCACCACCACACACATCACCACCACACACATTACCACCACACATCACCACCACCACATCATCACCACACACATCACCACCACACACATCACCACCACACACACATCACCATACACATCACCACCACACACATTACCACCACACATCACCACCACACACATCACCACCACACATCACCACCACACACATCACCACCACACAGCACCACCACACACATCACCACCACACACATCACATCACCACACACACACCACCACCACACACCACACCACCACCACACACCACCACCACACACACCACCACCACACACACCACCACACACACCACCACACACAACACCACCACACACATCACCACCACACACACCACCACCACACACACCACCACACACTTCACCACCACACACACCACCACCACACACACCACCACACACACATCACCACCACACACCACCACCACACATCACCACCACACACCACCACCACACACATCACCACCACACACCACCACCACACACATCACCACCACACACATCACCACCACACATCACCACCACACATCACCACCACACACATTACCACCACACATCACCACCACACACATCACCACCACACATCACCACCACACACATCACCACCACACATCACCACCACACATCACCACCACACATCACCACCACACACATCAACACACATCACCACCACACATCACCACCACACACATCACCACCACACATCACCACCACACACATCACCACCACACACATCACCACCACACACATCACCACCACACACATCACCACCACACACATCACCACCACACATCACCACCACACACATCACATCACCACCACACATCACCACCACACACATCACCACCACACATCACCACCACACACATCACCACACATCACCACCACACACATCATCACCACCACACATCACCACCACACACATCACCACCACACATCACCACACACATCACCACCACCGCACATCACCACCACACACATCACCACCACACATCACCACCACACATCACCACCACACCACACATCACATCACCACCACACACATCACCATCACACACATCACCACCACACATCACACACCACACATCACCACCACACATCACCACCACACACATCACCACCACACATCACCACCACACACACACACCACACATCACCACACACACACCACCACCACACCACCACACACCACACACCCCATCACCCCACCACATCACCACCACACATCACCACCACACATCACCACCACACACATCACCACCACACACCACACACATCACCACCACACACACACCACCACACACCACCACCACACACATCACCACCACACATCACCACCACACATCACACCACCACCACACACATCACCACCACACACATCACCACCACACACATCACACACCACCACACCACCACCACCACCACCACACATCACCACCACCACACACATCACCACCACACACACACCACCACACACACACCACCACACACATCACCACACACATCACCACCACACATCACCACCACACATCACCACCACCACACATCACCACCACACCACCACCACACACATCACCACCACACATCACCACACACATCACCACACACATCACCACCACACATCACCACCACCACATCACCACACACATCACCACACCACACACATCACCACCACACCACCACACACCACCACCACACATCACCACCACACTCATCACCACCACACATCACCACCACACATCACCACCACACTCATGACCACCACACATCACCACCACACATCACCACACACATCATCACACACATCACCACACACGTCACCACCACACACATCACCACACACATCACCACCACACACATCACCACACACGTCACCACCACACACATCACCACCACACACATCACCACCACACACATCATCACCACACACATCACCACACATCACCACCACACACATCACCACCACACATCACCACCACACACCACGACCACACATCACGACCACACATCACCACCACACATCACCACCACACATCACCACACATCACCACCACACACATCACCACCACACACATCACCACACACATCACCACCACACACATCACCACCACACATCACCACCACACATCACCACACATCACCACCACACACATCACCACCACACATTACCACCACACATCACCACACATCACCACCACACACATCACCACCACACACATCACCACCACACACATCACCACCACACACATCACCACCACCACCACACACATCACCACCACACACATCACCACACATCACCACCATACATCATCACCACACATCACCACCACACATCACCACCACACATCACCACCACACACATCACCACCACATCACCACCACACTCATCACTACTACACACATCACCACCACACACATCACCACCACACACATCACCACATCACCACCACACTCATCACCACCACACACATCACCACACATCACCACCACACATCACCACCACACATCACCACCACACACATCACCACCACATCACCACCACACTCATCACTACTACACACATCACCACCACACACATCACCACCACACACATCACCACCACACACATCACCACATCACCACCACACTCATCACCACCACACACATCATCACACATCACCACACATCACTACCACACATCACCACCACATCACCACACACATCACCACCACACACATCACCACACACATCACCACCACACCATCACCACACACATCACCACCACACATTACCACCTCACATCATCACACATCACCACCACACATCACCACACACATCACCACACACATCACCACCACACACATCACCACACACATCACCACACACATCACCACCACACCATCACCACACACATCACCACCACACATTACCACCTCACATCATCACACATCACCACCACACATCACCACCACACACATCACCACACTCATCACAACCACACATCACCACACACACACATCATTACCACACATCACCACACACATCACTACCACACACATCACCACCACACATCACCACATCATCACCACACACATCACCACCACACATCACCACACATCACCATATCATCACCACACACATCACCACCACACATCACCACCACACATCACCACCACACATCACCACCACACATCATCACACATCACCACCACACATCACCACACATCACCACACACATCACCACACATCACCACCACACATCACCACACATCACCACAGACCACCACACATCACCACAGACCACCACACATCACCACACATCACCACACATCACCACAGACCACCACACATCACCACACATCATCACAGACCACCACACATCACCACATATCACCACATCATCACCACACATCACCACCACACATCACCACATCACCACACATCACCACATCATCACCACACATCACCACATCATCACCACACATCACCACATCATCACCACACATCACCACCACACATCACACATCACCACATCATCACCACACATCACCACACATCACCACCACACATCACCACCACACATCACCACACATCACCACACATCACCACATCATCACCACACATCACCACACATCACACATCACCACATCATCACCACACATCATCACCACACATCACCACCACACATCACCACCACACATCACCACACATCACCACATCATCACCACACATCACCACACATCACACATCACCACATCATCACCACACATCATCACCACACATCACCACCACACATCACCACCACACATCACCACACATCACCACACATCACCACATCATCACCACACATCACCACCACACATCACCACACATCACCACATCATCACCACACATCACCACCACACATCACCACACATCACCACCACACATCACCACACATCACCACACATCACCACCACACATCACCACATCATCACCACACATCACACATCACCACCACACATCACCACCACACATCACCACACATCACCACCACACATCACCACACATCACACATCACCACCACACATCACCACATCATCACCACACATCACCACACATCACCACCACACATCACCACCACACATCACCACACATCACCACATCACCACACATCACCACACATCACCACATCACCACCACACATCACCACATCACCACCACACACATCACCACCACACATCACCACCACACATCACCACACATCACCACATCATCACCACCACACATCATCACCACACATCACCACATCATCACCACACATCACCACCACACATCACCACACATCACCACATCATCACCACACATCATCACCACACATCACCACATCATCACCACACATCATCACCACATCATCACCACACATCACCACACATCACCACACATCATCACCACACATCACCACACATCACCACATCATCACCACACATCACCACACATCACCACATCATCACCACACATCACCACCACACATCACCACACATCACACACACCATCATCACCACACATCACCACACATCACCACACATCACCACACATCACCACACATCACCACACATCACCACACATCACCACACATCACCACACATCACCACACATCACCACACATCACCACACATCACCACACATCACCACACATCACCACACATCACCACACATCACCACACATCACCACACATCACCACACATCACCACACATCACCACACATCACACATCACCACACATCACCACACATCACCACACATCACCACACATCACCACACATCACCACCACACATCACCACATCATCACCACACATCATCACCACACATCACCACACATCACCACACATCACCACACATCACCACCACACATCACCACATCATCACCACACATCACCACACATCACCACACATCACCACCACACATCACCACATCATCACCACACATCACCACACATCACCACACATCATCACCACACATCACCACACATCACCACCACACATCACCACATCATCACCACACATCACCACACATCACCACCACACATCACCACACATCACCACATCATCACCACACATCACCACACATCACCACACATCACCACACATCATCACCACACATCATCACCACACATCACCACACATCACCACACATCACCACACGTCACCACCACACATCACCACATCACCACCACACATCACCACACATCACCACACATCATCACCACACATCACCACACATCACCACACATCACCACCACACATCACCACATCACCACCACACATCACCACACATCACCACACATCATCACCACACATCACCACATCACCACCACACATCACCACACATCACCACACATCATCACCACACATCACCACCACACATCACCACACATCACCACACATCACCACACATCACCACACATCATCACCACACATCACCACATCACCACCACACATCACCACACATCACCACACATCATCACCACACATCACCACCACACATCACCACACATCACCACACATCACCACATCATCACCACACACCACCACACATCACCACACATCACCACACATCATCACCACACATCACCACACATCACCACCACACATCACCACACATCACCACACATCACCACCACACATCACCACACATCACCACATCATCACCACACATCACCACACATCACCACCACACATCACCACACATCACCACACATCACCACACATATGGGGTAAACACTGATTTTGGGCATTTGTGATCGTTGAGAGAGAATTAGCAGAGTTGTCTTGAAATATTCCTACTGGCCTAGTTGGTGAACAGTCAGCCCTGAGGGGCCCTGTTCCCCAGTGCCCTGGACGGGGACAGGCAGCCCTGAGGGCCCCTGTTCCCCAGTGCCCTGGACGGGGACAGGCAGCCCTGAGGGCCACTGTTCCCCAGTGCCCTGGACGGGGACAGGCAGCCCTGAGGGCCACTGTTCCCCAGTGCCCTGGACGGGGACAGGCAGCCCTGAGGGCCACTGTTCCCCAGTGCCCTGGACGGGGACAGGCAGCCCTGAGGGGCCCTGTTCCCCAGTGCCCTGGACGGTGACAGTCAGCCCTGAGGGCCACTGTTCCCCAGTGCCCTGGACGGGGACAGTCAGCCCTGAGGGCCCCTGTTCCCCAGTGCCCTGGACGGGGACAGGCAGCCCTGAGGGCCCCTGTTCCCCAGTGCCCTGGACGGGGACAGGCAGCCCTGAGGGCCACTGTTCCCCAGTGCCCTGGACGGGGACAGGCAGCCCTGAGGGCCCCTGTTCCCCAGTGCCCTGGACGGGGACAGGCAGCCCTGAGGGCCCCTGTTCCCCAGTGCCCTGGACGGGGACAGGCAGCCCTGAGGGCCCCTGTTCCCCAGTGCCCTGGACGGGGACAGGCAGCCCTGAGGGCCACTGTTCTCCAGTGCCCTGGACGGTGACAGGCAGCCCTGAGGGCCACTGTTCCCCAGTGCCCTGGACGGTGACAGGCAGCCCTGAGGGCCACTGTTCCCCTGTGCCCTGGACGGGGACAGTCAGCCCTGAGGGCCACTGTTCTCCAGTGCCCTGGACGGGGACAGTCAGCCCTGAGGGCCACTGTTCCCCAGTGCCCTGGACGGTGACAGGCAGCCCTGAGGGCCACTGTTCTCCAGTGCCCTGGACGGGGACAGGCAGCCCTGAGGGCCACTGTTCTCCAGTGCCCTGGACGGTGACAGGCAGCCCTGAGGGCCACTGTTCTCCAGTGCCCTGGAGGGTGACAGGCAGCCCTGAGGGCCACTGTTCCCCAGTGCCCTGGAGGGTGACAGGCAGCCCTGAGGGCCACTGTTCTCCAGTGCCCTGGACGGTGACAGGCAGCCCTGAGGGCCACTGTTCGCCAGTGCCCTGGACGGGGACAGGCAGCCCTGAGGGCCACTGTTCTCCAGTGCCCTGGACGGGGACAGTCAGCCCTGAGGGCCACTGTTCCCCAGTGCCCTGGAGGGTGACAGGCAGCCCTGAGGGCCACTGTTCTCCAGTGCCCTGGACGGTGACAGGCAGCCCTGAGGGCCACTGTTCTCCAGTGCCCTGGAGGGTGACAGTCAGCCCTGAGGGCCACTGTTCTCCAGTGCCCTGGACGGTGACAGGCAGCCCTGAGGGCCACTGTTCCCCAGTGCCCTGGACGGGGACAGGCAGCCCTGAAGGCCACTGTTCCCCAGTGCCCTGGACGGTGACAGGCAGCCCTGAGGGCCACTGTTCCCCAGTGCCCTGGACGGGGACAGGCAGCCCTGAGGGCCACTGTTCCCCAGTGCCCTGGACGGGGACAGTCAGCCCTGAGGGCCACTGTTCTCCAGTGCCCTGGACGGGGACAGGCAGCCCTGAGGGCCACTGTTCTCCAGTACCCTGGACGGGGACAGTCAGCCCTGAGGGCCACTGTTCTCCAGTGCCCTGGACGGGGACAGGCAGCCCTGAGGGCCACTCTTCTCCAGTGCCCTGGACGGGGACAGGCAGCCGTGAGAGCCACTGTTCCCCAGTGCCCTGGACGGGGACAGGCAGCCCTGAGGGCCACTGTTCCCCAGTGCCCTGGACAGGGACAGGCAGCCCTGAGGGCCACTGTTCTCCAGTGCCCTGGAGGGTGACAGGGAGGGCCACTGTTCTCCAGTGCCCTGGACGGTGACAGCCCTGAGGGCCACTGTTCTGTGAGGGCCACTGTTCCCCAGTGCCCTGGACGGGGACAGGCTGGGGGACAGGCAGCCCTGAGGGCCACTGTTCTCCAGTACCCTGGACGGGGACAGTCAGCCCTGAGGGCCACTGTTCCCCAGTGCCCTGGACGGGGACAGGCAGCCCTGAGGGCCACTCTTCTCCAGTGCCCTGGACGGGGACAGGCACAGGGACAGGCAGCCCTGAGGGCCACTGTTCACCAGTGCCCTGGACGGGGACAGGCAGCCCTGAGGGCCACTGTTCTCCAGTGCCCTGGACGGGGACAGGCAGCCCTGAGGGCCACTGTTCTCCAGTACCCTGGACGGGGACAGGCAGCCAGCAGGTGGAGAGTGCGAGGCGGAAGAACCGCCGAAGAACGTAACTTAACCGCAGAAGAACACTGCAACAAGTCACCCGGAAGGAACAAGAAGATGTTGAGAGTGTGGTGAGAGTGTTGGGAGGCGTGAGGCAGGGAGGCGTGAGGCAGGGAGGCGTGAGGCAGGGAGGCGTGAGGCAGGGAGGCGTGAGGCAGGGAGGCGTGAGGCAGGGAGAGGTTGTGACTTACAGGCGACGCAGGAGGTGTGTGTGGCGGGGCCCGGGGCCGCCCTGCTGGTGACGCCGCCGCCGGGGGACAAGTGAGGGCCGCCACGCGCGCCGCCCCTCCACCTCCAGCCTCGCCGCCACGTGGCACGCCCACAATGGCCGCCACGTGCGACTCGTGGCACTGACGTTGCGCGTGCCACGTGACGCCATTGCGTCATCAACAATGGCTTACCGGGACGTGAAGGAAGGAGGCGAGCAGCGTGGAGGTGTGAGACAATGGGCGGCGAGGGCGACACTGGTGAGGGCGAGGCCGGGCCTCAGGTTATAAGCCCTGGCGCCCCTCACCTGCCCTCTTCCGCCCACCTGGCACTTCCCCTCCTCCTGCAGCCTCACCTGTTGCTGTTATCTCACCATCACCGGCCACCAGCACCGGCCGCCGGGGCACCACAACTGTGCCCGCCCGGCGACGACCTGGTAGTTAAGATCACCTGATATACGGCGACCCTCCTATATCCCCCCCCCACACACTACAGCCCCACACTACAGCCCCACGCCACAGCCCAACACTACACCCCCACGCTACAGCCCCACACTACACCCCCACTCTACAGCCCCACACTACACCACCACTCTACAGCCCCACACTACACCACCACTCTACAGCCCCACACTACACCACCACTCTACAGCCCCACACTACACCCTCACTCTACAGCCCCACACTACACCCTCACTCTACAGCCCCACACTACACCCCCACGCTACAGCCCCACACTACACCCCCACACTACACCACCACTCTACAGCCCCACACTACACCACCACTCTACACCCCCACACTACACCCCCATGCTACACCCCCACACTACACCACCACTCTACAGCCCCACACTACACCCCCACTCTACAGCCCCACACTACACTACACCACCACTCTACAGCCCCACACTACACCCCCATGCTATACCCCCACACTACACCACCACTCTACAGCCCCACACTACACCCCCATGCTACACCCCCACACTACACCACCACTCTACAGCCCCACGCTACACCCCCACTCTACAGCCCCACACTACACCACCACTCTACAGCCCCACACTACACCCCCACTCTACAGCCCCACACTACACCACTACTCTACAGCCCCACAATACACCCCCACTCTACAGCCCCACACTACACCACCACTCTACACCCCCACACTACACCTCCACTCTACAGCCCCACACTACACCCCCATGCTACACCCCCACACTACACCACCACTCTACAGCCCCACACTACACCACCACTCTACAGCCCCACACTACACCACCACTCTACAGCCCCACACTACACCACCACTCTACAGCCCCACACTACACCACCACTCTACAGCCCCACACTACACCCTCACTCTACAGCCCCACACTACACCACCACTCTACAGCCCCACACTACACCACCACTCTACAGCCCCACACTACACCACCACTCTACAGCCCCACACTACACCACCACTCTACAGCCCCACACTACACCCCCACTCTACAGCCCCACACTACACCACCACTCTACATCCCCACACTACACCACCACTCTACATCCCCACACTACACCCTCACTCTACAGCCCCACACTACACCCCCACTCTACAGCCCCACACTACACCCCCACTCTACAGCCCCACACTACACCCCCATGCTACACCCCCACACTACACCCCCACTCTACAGCCCCACACTACACCACCACTCTACACCCCCACACTACACCCCATGCTACACCCCCACACTACACCAACACTCTACAGCCCCACACTACACCCCCACTCTACAGCCCCACACTACACCACCACTCTACAGCCCCACACTACACCCCACATGCTACACCCCCACTCTACACCACCACTCTACAGCCCCACACTACACCCCCATGCTACACCCCCACACTACACCACCACTCTACAGCCCCACACTACACCCCCACTCTACAGCCCCACACTACACCACCACTCTACAGCCCCACACTACACCCCCACTCTACAGCCCCACACTACACCCCCACTCTACAGCCCCACACTACACCCCCACTCTACAGCCCCACACTACACCACCACTCTACAGCCCCACACTACACCACCACTCTACAGCCCCACACTACACCCTCACTCTACAGCCCCACACTACACCCCCCACTCTACAGCCCCACACTACACCCCCACTCTACAGCCCCACACTACACCCCCCCCATGCTACACCCCCACACTACACCCCCACTCTACAGCCCCACACTACACCACTCTACACCCCCACACTACACCCCCATGCTACACCCCCACACTACACCACCACTCTACAGCCCCACACTACACCCCCACTCTACAGCCCCACACTACACCACCATTCTACAGCCCCACACTACACCCCCATGCTACACCCCCACACTACACCACCACTCTACAGCCCCACACTACACCCCCATGCTACACCCCCACACTACACCACCACTCTACAGCCCCACACTACACCCCCACTCTACAGCCCCACACTACACCACCACTCTACAGCCCCACAATACACCCCCACTCTACAGCCCCACACTACACCACCACTCTACAGCCCCACACTACACCCCCACTCTACAGCCCCACACTACACCACCACTCTACACCCCCACACTACACCTCCACTCTACAGCCCCACACTACACCCCCATGCTACACCCCCACACTACACCACCACTCTACAGCCCCACACTACACCACCACTCTACAGCCCCACACTACACCACCACTCTACAGCCCCACACTACACCACCACTCTACAGCCCCACACTACACCCTCACTCTACAGCCCCACACTACACCACCACTCTACAGCCCCACACTACACCACCACTCTACAGCCCCACACTACACCCCCACTCTACAGCCCCACACTACACCACCACTCTACAGCCCCACACTACACCACCACTCTACAGCCCCACACTACACCCCCACTCTACAGCCCCACACTACACCCCCACTCAACAGCCCCACACTACAGCCCCACTCTACAGCCCCACACTACACCCCCATGCTACACCCCCACACTACACCCCCACTCTACAGCCCCACACTACACCCCCACTCTACAGCCCCACACTACACCACCACTCTACAGCCCCACACTACACCCTCACTCTACAGCCCCACACTACACCACCACTCTACAGCCCCACACTACACCACCACTCTACAGCCCCACACTACACCCTCACTCTACAGCCCCACACTACACCCCCCACTCTACAGCCCCACACTACACCCCCACTCTACAGCCCCACACTACACCCCCATGCTACACCCCCACACTACACCCCCACTCTACAGCCCCACACTACACCACTCTACACCCCCACACTACACCCCCATGCTACACCCCCACACTACACCACCACTCTACAGCCCCACACTACACCCCCACTCTACAGCCCCACACTACACCACCATTCTACAGCCCCACACTACACCCCCATGCTACACCCCCACACTACACCACCACTCTACAGCCCCACACTACACCCCCATGCTACACCCCCACACTACACCACCACTCTACAGCCCCACACTACACCCCCACTCTACAGCCCCACACTACACCACCACTCTACAGCCCCACAATACACCCCCACTCTACAGCCCCACACTACACCACCACTCTACAGCCCCACACTACACCCCCACTCTACAGCCCCACACTACACCACCACTCTACACCCCCACACTACACCTCCACTCTACAGCCCCACACTACACCCCCATGCTACACCCCCACACTACACCACCACTCTACAGCCCCACACTACACCCCCATTCTACAGCCCCACACTACACCACCACTCTACAGCCCCACACTACACCCCCACTCTACAGCCCCACACTACACCCTCACTCTACAGCCCCACACTACACCACCACTCTACAGCCCCACACTACACCACCACTCTACAGCCCCACACTACACCCCCACTCTACAGCCCCACACTACACCACCACTCTACAGCCCCACACTACACCACCACTCTACAGCCCCACACTACACCCTCACTCTACAGCCCCACACTACACCCCCACTCAACAGCCCCACACTACACCCCACTCTACAGCCCCACACTACACCCCCATGCTACACCCCCACACTACACCCCCACTCTACAGCCCCACACTACACCACCACTCTACACCCCCACACTACACCCCCATGCTACACCCCCACACTACACCACCACTCTACAGCCCCACACTACACCCCCACTCTACAGCCCCACACTACACCACCACTCTACAGCCCCACACTACACCCCCATGCTACACCCCCACACTACACCACCACTCTACAGCCCCACACTACACCCCCATGCTACACCCCCACACTACACCACCACTCTACAGCCCCACACTACACCCTCACTCTACAGCCCCACACTACACCACCACTCTACAGCCCCACACTACACCACCACTCTACAGCCCCACACTACACCCCCACTCTACAGCCCCACACTACACCACCACTCTACAGCCCCACACTACACCACCACTCTACAGCCCCACACTACACCCTCACTCTACAGCCCCACACTACACCCCCACTCTACAGCCCCACACTACACCCCCACTCTACAGCCCCACACTACACCCCCACTCTACAGCCCCACACTACACCCCCACTCTACAGCCCCACACTACACCCCCACACTACACCCCCACACTACACCCCCACACTACAGCCCCACACTACACCACCACTCTACACCCCCACACTACACCCCATGCTACACCCCCACACTACACCACCACTCTACAGCCCCACACTACACCCCCACTCTACCGCCCCACACTACACCACCACTCTACAGCCCCACACTACACCCCCATGCTACACCCCCACACTACACCACCACTCTACAGCCCCACACTACACCCCCATGCTACACCCCCACACTACACCACCACTCTACAGCCCCACACTACACACTCACACTACAGCCCCACACTACACCACCACTCTACAGCCCCACACTACACCCCCACTCTACAGCCCCACACTACACCACCACTCTACAGCCCCACACTACACCCCCACTCTACAGCCCCACACTACACCACCACTCTACAGCCCCACACTACACCACCACTCTACAGCCCCACACTACACCCTCACTCTACAGCCCCACAC